ACCTAGGCGGAATTTGGAGGCGATTGGAGCAGTTGGAGCGAATTTCCGGCCGTTTTCCTTCGGTGGATCAGTCGAGCCGCTTCGCTGGAGTGCCCAACCTTGGTAAACCTTTATATAGAGAGAAAACCGTTTACATAAAAACCCATAAAACGGCCATAAATCGGCCCGTGGACCACACAGGAGAGACGTAACACACATTTTAAGTAAGGTAACCTGTTCTTTATTGAAATCCTTTCATTTTAGTAGGTTACAGAAATGCTGGGGGGGTACTCCCATACATTACCTATACGGGTATATGCCGCCCAACGGGGTCGTGATTTTGAGTTTCTGAGATCAGTGTTATAATTCGACCTTCTTGCTATTTTCCGAACGTCAAGTGTAATGATTCTGTTAGCTTTTCTTTCTTGTTTCCTTGTTTTTTTTTCTTCGTTAAGGATCAAATAGCTTCTTTTCAATTAAAGCAAATCATTGTGTTTTTGAACTAAGTGTTCCGTGTGTGTGTTTATTTCGTTACGTGATTGCGACCAAGTTTGATCAGCAGAATTCAGTACAACCGGTTCAGAGTTGTACTGCATGCAGTTGATAGTTTGAATGTTAAACATGAATTACGATCGAAAAAAATAAAGCAATTCTGTATCATGCAGACATTTCCAAACGATATTCCTCGGTTTGCCACTTGAAAATCGTGTTTTACTTTTTGCATGAATTAAAGCAAAGGTCAAGGAGTAGTGACGTCACTCACAGGCGGCCCAAGCTCAGTGTGTGAGTTTAATCGTTAACACATGCAGTTTCATATCGCGCAATTTAAAATGGCCTTGAATATAAAGGATTTGTATGGGAATTCCGGTAAAAGATTCAAATCGATAAATACTCGCTAGAATGTTCAATAAAATACAGCTTACCGTATTTACTTTGCTTGTTTTTGTTTGCTGTGTGGTTATTTTTCCGATCCATTGCGATTTAAACGATGTCCTTTAACCCCGAGTTTCCACTGTCAGCACAGGCCGCCCAAGTTCAGTGTGTGAGTTTAATGTGCGTCACTGGACGGCATTAACGGCATACGTTACTAACGACTCGAAGTTATCGGATGAAATTCAGGCTACTGACATGCAAACAAACTGACGCTCTTTAAGTCTAGAACTGTACAGAATTATGTGTTCTTACCACTACTTGCTTGACATGTCTAAAACAAAAAGCCCTGCTACGTTTTCAAAAATCACTATAGTGACCGTAAGGCAAATTCTATGAAAGCATTGGACTATGATCCGACACGCAAACCACGCAAAACTTGGAATGAATAGACAACTAGTTTTAAGAGAGTGGTGCTAAAACGATGGCCCCAAAAAGCAGGCTGAAGTCCCTTTTTAATTTCATTGACGGAAACACCATTCGAAAAAGAGGACTCTTTCACCTGAAGGGAAGACCGTCTGATCTCAAATGAAAACTCCCACTGATCTAAATTAAAAAAAGAAACCACTGATCTAGAACGAAGAACCAACTTGACGAAAGACCCAGTCATCGGAAACGTCAAGACCCGCTTGCCTAAAGCAAATCAGGGGCGGATCCAGGACTTTTATTAGGAGGGGGTGCACTCCTCTCTTGCTCTACTTCAACACCAATAAACCACAAGGTATTTTTTTGGCAGAATACCAGTTGTATTAGAAAACCGCAGGTCATCTCGGGGGGCGTACCCTGCACCCTTCCCCTAGATCAGCCCCTGCAAATATCTAACTTTACTTTACTTTGAAAGTTTTAAAGTGAAGTAAAGTAAATGGTTAAGAGAACTTAAAAGTTCTCTTAACTGTTTAATTCGTCCTCGCTTATATTTCCATAGTCTAAAATCCTTAGAGAAGTCTCACTGGATAAAACAAAAAGGGCCTCAGACATTTGACGACAGTGGACGTAATTATATGCACGTACTGTTGTTTTTATGCAAATAAAGGTGATATGCCGGCACGCTTAAAATTATACTTGGCAAATAAAAAACCCTTTTCAAATATTGTATAATCGACCGGCATTGGCTTTTCCAAGTGAGTGGTGTGATTGACCATCAGGCAAAATGAAGCCGAATTCTCTGAAGACAGTCACACTGCTGAAATGATTGGACCGACATCACGCGCAAACCACACAAAATATGAAACAGATGAACAATTTTAAGGTGGCTCCGTAATTAATACAAGAGCATTTAGCTGTGACAAATTTTCCGTCATAACGTTTTCGATTTTAACTCGATGGCTGCGAAACTTTGCAAAGAACAACAGATATCATTCGCCAATAATACGAAATATTCCGATTTCATTGATGGTAAATATTTCTTGAGAAATTAGCGCTTAAAAGGACCCTACTGTTCAAAGAAAATTGCGTCTAGTAAAAAATTTTGCTGATATTTTTTACTGAAATTTGTGGTATCGGCTTCAATTGATATAATAAATATGCCAGAGGAATTTCAGAAAAATCGTTGGAGCAGAAGTCCGTAACTAAAAGTCGCTCAAAATTCAGCTGTGAAATTGTTTTGGAATTTCAAAAATAAATTACTATCTGGAAGAAGGAGACACCTCTTTCAATTTTCGGGACAAGTAAATTCAGTGTTTGCTAATTCTTAAAACAGAAGCCGATTGCCTCTCGTGCTATTCTTTAGAGGATATTTTTCAGTTTTAGAAGCACTATAAATTGCTCCAAACTTTGTTCTGACGTCGAATGACTTGTTCCTCGCATTTTTAAAATATCCCTTGGCAGTTTTGGTTCAAACTCCTGCTACATACATTTTGATGTATTGCAATGCATCCTCAACGGCTTTTCCTGCTGTACGTTGTTTCCAATTCAGGAAAAAGGTATTGGGATTGTAAACTACCTTGTATCGAAGCTCAGACAGAACTGTCGAGCACCTTTGTTTATGACCAGAAAATGAGCACGAGCGGCAACTCTGCGAGGAATTCGCGCCTCAGCGAGGGGGGACGAATGACAATGATTCCCATGTCTGTGAACAGATCTGTATAAACGTGTATTGCAGAGCAAAACATAATAATGAAGAAAAAAATACCCATTCATTGAAGGAAGGAGTGACAAAACTTTCAGAGTTGTAAATTTATTCACGGGCAGTATTTTTGCGATAATTTTATTTTGCACTGTGATGTTATTCGGTTCACAGGCATGGTCATCATTGTCGTTCTCCCCCCTGGTGAGGTGCGAATTCCTCGCAGACCTGCCGCTCGTGCTCATTTTGTAGTCATAAACAAAGGTGCTGGACAGTTCTATCTGAGCTCTGATGCGAGGTAGCGTCCAATCTCAATACTTTTTTCCTGAGTTGGAAGCAACGAACAGCAGTAAAAGTCCTTGAAAATGCATTGCAATACATCAAAATGTACGCAGCAGGAGTTTGAGCCAAAACTGCAGAGGGATATTTTAAAACTGTCGAAGAACAAGTAATTCTACTTCAGAGCAGGTTTGGAGCGATTTATAGTGCTTCTAAAACTAAAAAGTACCTTTTAAAGAATAGCACGATAGGCATATCGGCTTTTGTTTGAAGAATTAGCAAACGTTGAATTTACATGTCCCGAAAATTCGAACTGGTGGCTCCTTCTACCTGATAGCAATTTATTTTTGAAATTCCAAAACAATTTCATAGCTGAATTTTGAGCGACTTTTAGTTACGGACTTCTGCTCCAACGATTTTTCTGAAATTCCTCTGGCATATTTATTATATCAATTGACGCCGATACCACAAATTTCAGTAAAAAATATCAGCAAAATTTTTTACTAGACGCGATTTTCTTTGAACAGTAGGGTCCTTTTAAGCGCTAATTTCTCAAGAAATATTTACTTTCAATGAAATCGGAATATTTCGTATTATTGCCGAATGATATCTGTTGTTCTTTGCAAAATTTCGGAGCCATCGCTTTAAAATCGAAAAAGTTACGACGGAAAATTTGTCACAGCAAAATGCTCTAGTATTAATTACGGAGCCACCTTAAGAGAGCGATTTTAAAACGAAGACACAAAAACGAAATCCGTAGACCGTAAACTCGCTAATCTTAAACGAAGATCCACTGGCCAAAAACGAAGTCTAAAACTAACACTTACATATGTACTGATCTATAACAAAAACCCTTCGGTCTAAAACAAGCACGGTGTTCAATAAAATCTGAACGGCATTTATCCAGAACTGTGAAGAATTGGCGCTGCCGTGCCCAAACTTTCAGGCACCAGTGCCTATTTTTTAGGGGGCCGAGTCCAAAACGTTCGTAAACCTTGCTGCTGTAACCACGTTGTTAAACAACAGTGGGAGAAGTTGAGTTAGTGGAATATTGGAACCACGTTGGATGTTAAAAGTGTTTTTGTGTTCCATATTCAGTGAAAACCGTGTTTTCTGGATTAGTTTTTTTCTAGTAAGGTCTTTTTGTAATTATCTATCCCTTTGTCTACTGAACTGGCAAAATACAACTACAACTACTCTTACGTGAATATAAATCGTAATGATCACCACTGAGGACGCTTTGGTATACTGTTCAGTCCTACGCATAAAGCTTACGTAACAAATAATAACTGTAAAACTGAGTTTTACCAATCTTCAGTTTAATCGATGTTTAATCTATCTCATTTTAAGGTCTTTTAAGTTAGAGTATTTTAAATATTAAGACATCTCTATTCAAAACAGGGAGGCAACTCTTTATAAATGGAAAATATAATGGCATAGGAACTATCCTGAAAAGTCGAATCGATGTATTTAACTAGCTGGATAAGCTAAGTGTACTTTCCACTATAAAACAATCCTTTAACTATATTTGTGTTTCTTTTTTGTGTCATGATATAGCACCAACTTTCTACCCTGTCAATTTGTCTTTGTTAGCTGACAGGAAAGATAGAAAACCTGAAGATAGGAATCCTAAAAGCAGGGTTTGGTTTGGAAATCTCCGAACCGGATGTTGACAAGATGGTGAGAGAAAGCCGCTGGACAGCTGAGGAGTAAATGCGGCGCAGTCGTCGAGGAAGTTTCAATCCCAATGGATTCAGATGGTAACTGAGATTTTATTTATTTTATTTATTTATTTAAAAAGTACTTGCTCAAATTCTTGTGTGTTTTTTTTTTTTTGCAAAGATCGGTTGCGTAGCGAAAAAGAGTTTAAAACCGGGTCCAACTCTCCTCCGCTCACTCGGGTAGCGCGAACTCGCTTGGGAACGAGGCTGTTGAACCTCAGCTTTCAGCCGCTGATCATGGCTAAAACGTTTTTTAAGTAAAGGCGAAAACTTAAAATCTCTGTCAGAAATTAATATTCGTCTTGCTTATTAAAGAGTCGTATTATTTCTCCTTTCTATACAACGATTTGGGATCTTTGATTAAGCAAATTTTCAGATGGGATGTGATCGAATGATGCTTGAAGGAGCTGGTAAGTAGCTGTTGTCTTAGAAACAGTCAAGCCAAAGTTATGTTAGTTTAGGAAACATTGTCAATGTTTTACATTCAAAATATGCAATAAAAGTCATACTAAAATGTACTAGCCATGAAGATATGTATGGTGATCATTAATTTGGAAAAATTAGCATAACGTCAAAACAGTGAATGTTGTAAAGCGGATTTTTGGTCGGTTCCTGGGCCACGTTCGTCTTAAAATTTCAAGGTGCTGCAGTGAATCAATCTCAATAAAAGTTGCAGACACTAATATATACATCATGGAGATTGTGTGATGAGGTTTAAAAAGAATTTTGTCGAGCCGTTTTTGAGATAGCAACAAAGGAAATAGGAGACGTCTGCACGCAGGCAGCACGTGCAATGTTGTTGTTTTGCATATTAAACCTTGTTGGCCACTAATTCAAGAGGTTTATTTACTAGAAAATTAAGAGATGATGATCATTTTCCTTGGCTAAATGTCTTCGAGGCTTGTTGGGGATTACTGAAAACACTTTTCGTCAAAAATTCATACCTCTACTCAACTTTCCTTCTGCTTCCATCCAGGTTTTGGTTCTTCAGCGGAAATGCACTACGATACAACTCTTCAAGAGGCTGTTTTCCGTGGTCTGAAATGCCAATCGAATGAATTGTCAAAAACCGCTAAATTCGTCAGGCTGATGGCAAATTACTTGCATGAAGATTACAACAGCGTTTTCTACGGAAAGGCGCAGAACCTAGGCCGAGTTCTATGCAAAGCTTACGACGAGGCCTTTGAAAAGTATGACGTGTTAATTCTACCCACCATTCCAAAAAAGGCACCAGTCTTCCCGCAGCAGAATCCTTCCCTGAAAGGTAATGTTGTGACATTCGTTAATATGCTCCTTTACTTTGCCGGACTCAACAGTTTAGAAAGATGAGAGAAGTTGGAGCTCTGTTCATATCCGTACCGTCAATAGAGAGTTTTAGATCCGAGTTTACCGCGAACCTCTAACCGCGGTTTGCGGTTACCCGTTTGCGGTTCGACGTTCAAACATAATTCGATTTAGATTGGCGGTGGATTAAAGAAGTGGATTCTGAATTTATTTTTCCATTTAGAAATGGACGAAATATCAATCAGTGCAAATAAAAGAAATTTACGGTAACACTTGGTTATCTAGCGGTAAAGAGCTGTAAATTCTTACATTAGTTCTTCTTATAAATTTACGGCCGCCATTTTGAATCAGCAGCCATGAATGGCACTTGTTTTCAAGATCCAATAGGATTTATCAAATTTAGCATTTCGCCCGAATTTGTGCCTCTGTTAATGGATAAAGACTTGCTGCACAAGATTTTCGTATCATTACGTGGGATAAAACAAGAATTATACGCTAAAAGCTTTCAGGTAAATGGCATACGTGAAAACCTACCTCCCCACGTTGAAAACGCACGTCGTAAACCTCAAACGTGACGCGAAAGACTTGTCACGTGACTCCCAGCGGTTAGAGGTTTGCGGTAAACTCGGATCTAAAACTCTCTAATGTCGGCGTGTAGAATTCGCCACTTTAGAAACGAGAGGGAACTGGGCCGAGTTAACTCTCGCAAAGACTTCTGGAACTGTAACTAAGGAAACGGAAAAAAAGGGGGCATTAGGGAGTTTAAGCAGCGACGTTTTAGAGCGACGCACGTCCATCGGAAGTGGACGTTTTGCACTCTTGAGCCGTGATTTTAAAAAAAATGTGGGCAAATCGTCTCAGTGTATAAGAATTAAGACACTTGGCAATACAAATTTGGTGGCGTCAAGGTAATAAAAGACAAAAAGGCTCACTTCCGGTTGACGTGCGTCGCTCAAAAAACGTCGGCGATTAAGCTCCCTATTAAATAGGGACTTTAAGATGCAACTACGCGACGGCAACGAGAACGTCGATTAAAAAGTGAATTTGCGTTCTTTCAGTCTTAATAGCTATTATTCCTACGCACTTACTTTGTCAAATGTAGGCGAACCCTCCTGAAGTTGAATTTCAAGGGATTATATCCAAGCTCAGAAAGAGAAATAACATTTCGTCGTTGCTTGTTTACGTCCTCCATAAAACGCGAAATTAGGCATTTTCACGTCGTAGTCGTGCAAAAACGGGAAAGAAATGTACAAAGAAGTGTGATGCACGTGCAAAGTTGTTGTTTTGCTTAATTAAACCTATTCTTTTTGTGGACGTTCTCGTTGCTGTCGCGCCGTTGAATCGTAAAGTCCCTAATAATAGCTGACCCGCGCGTCTCTAATAACAATTCCAGTTCCCTTCTCTCTGCTTGAGTGGCGAATGGTCGAAACTTATCACATCTTCGCTAAATTGTTGAAGTAAAGCCAACAGTTTTAACTGCTCAGAATGGTTCTTAAAGCACTCAAGGATGGGTATTTTTGCCTACTTCAGAGAATTTTTATGTTTTTATAGACGCCACTCGCGATATAGCGAAAAAATTGCCGGTAGATGACCAAATACCAGCTTGAGTCATCCAAATAATGTCTCCTGTGTGTTATATGTAAAGTTTCGAATACACAAACATTGTCTTTTGAAACATTTTGCTTTCTTGAAAAACGTTTGCTATCATTTAAATTTTAAATTTGGCGCTTCGAGTAACTTATTGTTTTTTTTTTCTTTTTGTGAGCTGCTGATTGGCCGACAACAAACTTTCTTGGAATGTATGTATGTATTTTCCTGTAATTCGATTGGTAAACTTTGTCTAAGTGGCCCCGGCTAGCTGTCTTCAATTAAGCAAAAGTTAAATTAATGTCTTTGCAGAATACGCCGAACGAGCCATGGAAAATGCCGTGAGTACCTCGTCCTTCAACGTCGCAGGTCACCCAGCACTGACAATCAACGCAGGCTTCAGGGATGGCTTGCCAGTTGGAATGATGATTGTTGGAAGAAAGTTTGATGAAGCCACTGTTCTTAATGTTGCCTATGCTTATGAGAAGATCAGAGATTCAAAATAGTAACTGCCCAACCTTCATATGAAACTTCTGCAAACTGTTCGAAGTTTTCGAAATATTTTACATAGTGGTTTACTGCCTTATACTACTACATGAGAAATTTCTGCAATTTGATTGGCTTAGAGCAGTGGTATTTCAGCTTAATTTGAAATACCTACGTGTGAAAATTACAAACCTTTTGCAGGTACTAGTATAAACAAATAATAGCATGATTTGTATGTGATATTTGGCATAAATACCACTCGAGATATTTCAAAATTGTCACAAATTTCACTCGCCTAACGGCTCGTGAAATTACGTATAACAATTTTGAAATATCACTCGTGGTATTTATGCCAAATATCACTACAAATCATGCTATTACCTATACAAATCAGCATTTAATTATTTTTCTTGTGGTTACTAACAAAAAAGTTTAGAAATAACACGGCTTAATCCCCAAAAAAATGTTATGAGAACAAAGGTCGGTGTAAGAACCTGTAAAACTCAGTCAACACAACAGAAGTTAGGAAAACAAAAGGTTCGTAAAAAAGGAAAAGTTCAAATTTTGATCAATCATTAAACTCACAGCCAATCCGCTTAACAAATTAGGGTTGCAGCAAATAGATGTGTCTAGGTAGCCAGATTCAAGCGCGGGAAAAACTCAGCTAGTGGGCAAGCCATTACTACATTTGGTTTTACTTTTGATTGGTTAAGAAATCAATTGTGACATTTCAGCCGTGTGACATCACAGATCATAGTATGATGATGATGATGAACTTTATTAAAGTCTCATGTCTTATAGCTCAGGCACAGTGCGTTAGTAATTGGGGAGACTGTAAAGTTCTGATTTAATATCGTACGTCGGCTATGGTAACAATTTATGACCCAATGGTTTCTCAAAACTTCCAATACAACCCAGTAAATTAATAGACACATTTGAGCAATTATAAAGCACAAAAGTGGTTTAATACCATCTATAAAGCTACAATACATGAAGTCGAAAAGCTTTACTGGCTGCCCGAGGTGGTACTTCCTCCCTATAATGGAATTTACGGGGAGGCTCCGCCCGAAAGGGGTACCTTTTTCAGGCGTGAGGTATATGAAAGGATAGGGATTTCACTGGTTGAAGTATATGAAACGGTAGCGAAATCTTTCATTTCGATCTGTAAAATGACCTAAATAAAAAGGGCTGTCGGGTGCATTTTTTATGGTTGTGAAAAAGTCGGGAAAACGTTCTGGTTTTGTGATTTCTTTTTATATTTGAAATACAGCGCCTTTACAGCAGTTAAAGGGGATGTAAAGTTCTAAACAAGGTATGTGAAAGGGGTACCATTTGTCAATACAAGGAATATTATACGGGAACCCCTTCAATAACGGTGTATAAAAGGATAATGGCCTGAACCTTGGGAAAAAGTCTCCCCGTATAAAACTTTGTCGAGTCCCTCACAACCCCACCACCCCGGGATATGCCATTCTCGTGATACATGTACAAAACATTACTCCCGGATGTAAATGTTCCCGTGGGGGTTAGCCACGTTGGTGAGATGGTTTCTATCGCTGTTGGTACCACAAGGATCATGGGTAGGCCAATTATTGGTCTTCGTACTTCCTTCAAGGTAGTAATATTCCTTCAGCCAAGTAGAACTCTGAGACCGATAGAGATCCGGGCCCAGGCTGGAGCCGGGTGGGTTTCCAGCCGACTCAAACTGAATTTTGTCCGGGACATAGTTCTGACATTTGGACGCAACGTTCTTTATGTTTCGACACTGGATATTACCACCTTTAAACTCCACCAGACTTCCACCTTGTTCCCTGTAAGGTAAAAATATAAATAATCAGCGTTATTTGTTTACCCTGCACAATACATACCAGGAAATCCCTTACAGAAAGGATACAACGAGAATAAACGAGGATTCAAAGTTTACCGCTGTTTTGAGTCTCTTTATTATGAACTTTATAGTGACTAGCACCATGGATAATAGAAAGACTGCATGGGAAACTAGCTGACGCGATCGGTTCCAGCTAGTGGGAAATGTGGTGTCACGCTTTCGAGATTCATTAAACTTTTTACACGTTTTGCGCGTCTAATGTTTCCGCGTATATTTCCCTGTCATCGACCATAAAAATTGTCGGTGTTTCAAAGGAAAAGGATGTATGTAGACGACTTTGTCTTGAAGACGACACTGTTCTGACACCTTCAATGCAGAATCAATAGTCCCCGAAGGAACATTTTAAAGAAAACCTGCACGGGACGAAAAAATAGATTTCCATAAATTTGCTCCTTGCACATGTCGCAAATATATAAATACTGAGGCAAACATGGTAAATGCCACATTTGCCTAGTTATTTACTCCTTATATTTACTCCTCAGTATTTGCGACACATTTGCAAGGAGCAAATTTGTGCAAATCCATTTTTTCGTCCGGTGCTGAAGAATAGTACATACACTAGTCCAAGCTCATAAACCAGACATTTTGTTTTGTTAACCTACTCTACTGCGTCACCTTCACTAGATTAAGCTCTCAAGGGTTGGTCGGGAAAACATTTACTTTAATGTATAAACTTTCATTTGAGGTAATCAACGTAACTTTTTTTCCAAAGTGACTGCACGCTTTCTTTAAATTAGCGCTGCAAACAATTTGCTGATTGTACAAAGTAAAAAAACAAACAAACAAACAAATAAACCAGTTACTGTGAAACTCACAAAACCGTGAACACCAGAAATATTTATGGAATGTTATTGTGTTGCGAGAAATTTCCTAGCCAATAAGGCGCAAGATAACTAAACCGCAAGCAGTAACGGTAATTAGTTTGTGGTTTTGAGGTTTGCTTGCGTATCCTGAACTTTATTGCAATTGGCCAGTACCCAATCAACATTCCTGAAATTTTCCAGGTGTTTACGGTTTTCTGAGTTTGACATAAACAAACGGACAAGAGATAACAAGATTATTTCGCAAAACCAAAGCAAATTTTCCATTCACAAAAACTGAGGGGAATCGGCGTAAAGATTTCTGGGATCATTTTGTTGGGCCACCTTTACTTATGCTGAGTAAAAGATAGCTTCGAATGTTATCGACCAATCATAACTAACACTTGTCCTTCCCAGAAATCACTGCACATAAAGCTTGTACTCATTCTCCTCACAGTTTCTGAAGTGGAGAATTCTTACTTGCAAGAGATCCAATGGTTAATGTTGGACTTGATCATGAACTCGCGACCCAGGTTTTTCCAGTAGTTGAAGTTCATGGCGTTGTAGTCTGTTTCGCTTACTGGAGGGGTGGTAGAGATGATTATGTTTCCGTAAGTCGGGCTGATTGGCCAGTTTGGGCGCGGCGTGACCGCGTTGGAGCCGGACTTGAAAGACCTGGCGAATAACAGTTATCACCATTGTCAATATAATCCTTTAAAATATATGTGTTATTGACTAAACGTCAAGTAAAACGGCTAGACCCATAGCCTGGGAAGTTGGGGAGGGAAGGCATTGAAGAAGTCTCCCAAGTGGAGGGAGCGAAAAGAGAGTGGACTGGCAGAGAAAAAAACCGGGGGAGCTTGGATTCAGATTCTGGTATCATGACCTGATTGGTCAGATCGCTGACTGTTGACAGGGGAGCGATGAGTATACCCCAGTACCCAATCAGAACGCGGGATTTGCTTTATCCTACCCTTTATCATGTTTTAACTGATCCTTTTAAAATTTTGCTTAAGCAAAAATAACTTACTGTAAAAACACGATAGATAAAACAGTCAATAAATTTTCGAATCAAAGTGTCTTACTTAAAGTTTGCGAAGGTGTAGCTGTACACCAGTGTCCAGCCTCCGCCGTCTGTTTCCTGGTCGCAGTAAACCTGGACCGGGTTATCACCATCGGGTTGAATCCAGTATACTCCAGACGGGGCGTCTTGACGTTTCTCTTGAATGTCCTTACATGATTTGGCAGCGTATTTCTTGGACAGTCCTACGAATTAGCAAACAATTCGGGAGATAGGCCTTAAGCATATGATCAAAGGTGTAAAGTCTAGAATTGGGCTCTGCGTCAGTAGGTTTCTTACTTCCATTTGCAATAGAGGGATACTTTGTAAAATACATTTCTAGCTTTCTCATTGGCTTACTGGATCATGCTTATTAGGCGCCTTACCTCACGGGAATGTGTGTGAGTTTCTTCGGATCGTTTCGAGGGACAGGAAAAAGGTCAACACTACATGATGTATTTAATAAGTGCTGTGTTCGAAAATGCACAAAAATTATTTTTATTATTTTTTATTTTTTTTAATTTATGTCTCACCAAACAGCAGTTCCTTTTCGTCGCACTTTTCAGGTTCCTTTTGACCTTAAACATAAAGTAAATTATTATAATTAACTACTATTTGAATAGACCTATTAAGCTGTGCAAGCAAACTACTCAGTGCAATGAAGATCGTACTATGTGAAAAATAACTTTGCAAGACATCAACACGACACCAAAAAAACCCAAAACACAGGGGCACCGAACGAGAAATTTGTGAAAAAGACCTAAAAACAACAGCAAAGCATGAATAAAGCTTTCTGAAACCATTTTAAACATCTTGGGAGATTGCTGGGAAACATTTATCTCCAGTGCTCCTCACTCCCAGCAAGACTGATGAAAGGGTTCCCAGCCAGCAAGGTGCACCTACAACCCGCAACCTGAGTTACTGGAAACTTTTCCCAGCAATCGTATGTGGTCATAGGGCGTCATAGGGCAAAATTCAGCCCTTCAGTGAGGGGGGGGTGCGGTCCTTTGATTTGAATGATACGTCAATTCAGAAATTTCCCGGCATCTCACCTTTGTTCCCGCAATACCTTGCTCTTGTGAAGGGTACTTTCGGCAACTTGTAAATAAAGAAGTCTTTGCATTTCAGTATCTCTATTTCCTGCCTCCGCACGCAGCAATTCTGTCCATTTGAGAAGCATACGGTTCTCTTCACGCTTTCTCCAACTTTCAAATCAGCCGGGTGATCACCGTCAAGATAACCGGGAAACTTAGCACCGCAAGAAGGAGGAGTTATGCAGTACGTTCCATTTGAATTACTAAAGGAAAGGGTTCCATTTCCATTTAAAGAGTTAAACTAATAGAATTGCGTTAAATAGAGAGGAGAAGTCGTTACTTCAAGTTGCCATGGTAGCAAATTTCTGGACAAGAAACAAACCGCAAACATAAAGTGAATTCGCATTGTTTCAAACTTCATAGAACTTCAATTTGTCTAATGTTGAGGAAATCTTCTGGGGTTGAATCCGAAAGGACCGTATCTAAGTTTAAAAGAAGAAAAAAAAAATTCTTTTTTTGTGTTCACCTACATCCATAAAGAGGGCGCGTGAAATCAAGAATTCATGTACCAGTTGAGCAACGAAGGCTACGAAATGTACAAAAAGGTGTGATGCATTTGCAAAGTTGTTGTTTTACTAATCTAAACCTATTGGCTTTCTGTCGTTCTTGTTGCCGTCGCCGTCGTCGTTGCTTAAGCTCCCTATAGACCTCTTTAGCTTGTATGTTTTGGTTTCTCAGTGAAGGTTCCAGGGGAACTTGACCCTTTGAATAAGACGAAATTTGAAAGAAACAACTCTTTAGAGTGTTTATTACAGGACCTGTATTTGTTATCCAGAAATTTTGCCACCATGATAACGTGACGTCATAATTCTCTTCTCCATCGTGTTAAATCAAACCCAGTGTATTGTGCCAACTTCTCAGAAGCTCATTAACTGTTTGGGGTCAGTTAATTGCCAAAAATGCCCAATTTTTTGTTTATTAGCAGATCCCAAACGAAAAAGATATTAGCGAAAATGTCCCAAAACGTTTCAGCCGGGGGTGACGCCAGAATTTTTCCAGAGTTTCGCGCAATTTTCAAAATTTCCCTGCCGCTTCATCTGGCCCCCTTAAAGTCGCAAATCAGAGGGGTTATGCCGTAAGTCAGGACGCGTTTCACTATTGACTTACTGAAATAACGTGAGTAAGCTGCAAATTCTTTGTGGCCTTTATTAGTTTTTAGTTGCCTGAAGCACCGATCAGCCGCTTATCATCATTTAAGCGCTAGCCAAGCAGCTCAGGCAAACTGTCCTGAACTACAATATACAGGGAAAGCGAGTACCTACAGCGGGTCGCTTTGAATGAGACTTCATATACCATAGACCATAATGCACCTGTTTACCCCCCTCCCCCCCCCAAAATTTTGCAGAACCATTGTTTCCAATTTCTCCAAGGTATTACAGTCGTCCAAAGAGAAATCTAAAACAATGGTTATGTAAAATTTCGGGGGGGGGAGGGTAAACAAGTTGCATTATGGTCTATGTGAAAATGGTGAATATAAGAATAACCGAGCATGTACTCACGCAGTAGCCATGTTGTCTCCAGCTTCACCGGTAAATTTGTACCAAGTCTCTTTCCACCGTCTTATTCTGTCAGATTTTCTTGTTAGCTTCTGGAAGCCAGCTGCTCGATCTTTACTACTGAGCACTTTAATATCTTCAGCGCACGGATCGCACTCATACCCACCTGGAAGATTTCCATTGCAAAATTAATTTAATACCCAATTTTGCTGGATTAATTCGCAAAATCGATTGTTCCAATCTTCGAAGTACCCTTAAATTAAGGTGCATTGTACTGATTTCTAGCGTGCAGAATCAATCGCGCGCGCGCATCCCACTTCACTTTTGTGTAAGTTTACTTTTATTTGTCCTGTTTTAAATATAATTTGCATTTTTCTGACTCTTTTTCTACACTGATGTAAAATGCTTATTGAACTAGGTTTTAAAGGGAATACTTGCTTGTGCACTGCGGTCGATCGTGAAAGGGATTGGAAGAGCAATGACTCAAAGTACAACTACAAAAACAATAAACGTAGAATATTAAAATGATTACTTAACTGCACATTAATTATACCAATTCGCTTTGTCTTTTGGTGTCGAAAAGTGAGTCCAGAAGGTGGTATTTTAAGACAGCCAAACGTTTTACTGAACGGAAAAATACTACAACGCATAAATTTTCTCTCCTCCGCAAAGACTGTAAGCAAAATCAGTAGTTTCTCGCAACAGAAAACGCAACATTCAGCGGTAGTCAGAACAGCGCACGAGTAAAACTCGTCCTTATAGAGTTCAGATATGCCATTTTACAAGAACGAAAACGCACGTGGGAATTTTTGGTGAAATTTCGAAGCCTTTTACCAAAAATTAAGTGGAACTCGGGACCTCGCGCTCTGAAGGCAGAGCACACTAACCAACAGTGCCACCCTTGCTCTTTCTGAAGTAGTGATAACCAATAAAAATATACTTACAAGCGCTTTTCATCTCATGAAAAAAAAGCATCAGCAAAAGTAACACCTTTACCGAACGCATTTTGACCTAAAATTAAAACATAAAATATCGTGTGTCAAAATCTATGAGAATGATGATGATGGTGATCGTGATGGTGATGATGACTATGGCGATGATGATGATGATGATGATGATGACGATGATGGTGGTGTTGCACTTAGTCTGAAGGCCTACAACAAATTTTCGACAAAAATGTCCTATTTTTGACCAGAATGCCCCATTAACACTAGCTTTCAATGAGAGACTCTGGAAGTCAAAGAAATTGGGTAATCAACAAGTAATACTGAGCCATGAACCACGAGGCGCTGACAAGGGCCGGACAAAACCCAGGCAGCCTAGACAGGGATTTATCGCTTCTGTACCCATTTTAATAGCATCATGTCAATTGCCCCCATAAAGTTAATTGACACAAAGCCCAAATATGCAAACAAATCCCACGCTAATTTTTGAGTATACCCTTGCATTCCTGGTTCGCTTTAAAGCGTTCTTTGAAAAGTGAATTTCCACGTTTGAAAGCAGAAAGAGTGAATAAGGAGAGCTGTAAGGAATGAGAGAGAACACCAGGGATCCGTATCTCGAGAGTCATTTTTAAAATTAAAATCTTAGAAAGGCAGCGATAGTTACCCCCATAACCAGCCCATTTTTTTTTGTTAACTGATGTTATTATTGCAATTGCGAGAAAAACGGCCCGCAGGATTAGCGTTCATGGGCACATTTTCAACGTAATGAAGAGTACAACCAGGTACAACCACAGACAGACCACCCTCTGTTAGTGGGACCGTTGTTGATTGAAACCCGAGCATCGATCTTTTCTTCTTTTGAAAAAATACAGATAACATTTTCTTCAAACTTTTATTGAAACATTTGCGTTAAAATCTGCAATTTGGAACAAATGATAGCCATCGTAAAAAAGCCGTGACATAGGCCTATTATGGGAGTTGCTCGCTATGGGCTTCTGGTATCCGATCGAATTATTATGAACCTCGACGGTACGCAGAACAACGGCAGTGCTTTTTTGGCTTTCTTTACTGAAATTTTGAGTTTTCGTAAAAAGATTTTGTATTCTCTCTGTCGTCTTTCAGTCTCCTCATTCCTTCGGTCACGCTTCTCGTGTTCCGTCTCCCGCGTGCTATTCTGGCGTTTCCAGCATCCACTAAAGAGACGACTGGGGACGAACTGTAGTTAGGGGTTTCATCACACGCCCCTTCTCCGCGCGTGTTGGTGGGAAAAGGACGCGTGACGAAGCCGTAAGAGTGTTAACGTGGGAAAGTAAAGCCCCGTGAAAACGCACGCAACTTTGTTGGCCAACAACTCCCAACATTGTTGGATGCTAGATGTTGCGTCCGTTTGCATACCCTGTTGCATGCTGTTGCGCAAAGTTTGAAACCGGTCAAACTGCCAGCAACGTTGGGGGTTATTGCGTCGGTTTGCGCCTAGCCAGGAGCCTATCAAATGGAGCCTCCATCTCCCATACAAGCCCTTGGAGTCAACCCTTTCCCGAGTAGATTTATAATTAGAACGGTTCCCAGGGGACACTTCGCGCGCCGACGGTGGGAAGAGCCAATCACAACGACTAAATGACACTGCTATTGTACTTCATGAAACAGCAGGAAATCTGGTGCTGACAAGCCAAACAAAATCATAAGCTAGTGAAACGTGACTTTAGCGTTTTCATCCCTCAGAGATTTTCTTTCTTTTCTTTCTAGCGGGTAGATTATACTGTGGAGAGTTTTAAACTCTGACTATGTTAATCTTAATTTTGGTTGCTTGTCTCACATTAAGCTGATCTGTTACATGCGCAAGGATTAACGTCTACCTGCAGTCTGTAGTTCTGACAGGATTCGTTTTCTTTAGCCAATTTTTTTGAGCGTTAAGGTTCTTATTTCGGCTAAATGACTCAATATTAGTCAAATTTCTAGTTTTTCAAGTTTTTATCCGAAATGCGTTTGTCTGAATAAATACTGTGGTTGTTTTGTCCGTCAGTTAGTGTGATGATTCCCTGCTATGTTTTGTAACGCCGAGCCCAGCCATTGTTTTCTCGCAAAAAAGTGATCTACAGATGCGAATTCGAAGGAAAGAATTGGCCTAAACTTCTACATTAATTGCTGAGAATTCTCCTGTTGGTCAGTCATAATTCTTTGAGCGCAGATACAATCCATTTTGTTTTTCTTGAGATAAGAGGGTCTTTGGACTGGAGCGCGATGTCACAAACTCCACCGTCAGCAAATTACTTTTGAGTTAGCTTCACGGTCGAGCAACTGTTGTCTTCTGTTCAACTTTTCAAGTGCCAGTTTTATCAGGCAACTCTCATGGTGATACAAGTCAGTTGTAAAGGAAGACTGCAATTTTTCTGAAGCATTCCTCCTTAGTTGCTACTTAGGTCATCGCTTTTGCACACGGTGCTTAACTGGCGAAATCCACTCCACGGCGATGACAAAAATAAATGATCCTGGCACTTTTTCGGCGCTGATCATCGAAAAGTTTCGAATCGTCCACAGAACGCTTAATCGTCGACTCTTTTCAAGGTGCATGCTTAAATGTGGGATGAATGACGGCAAAAAAAAAACAAAAAACAAAAACAAACATTCGCAAAGAACCTTTCCGTAATCCTCAGTTCGCTGCCTTTGTCCCATCGCTTCATGCTCAGTCTCAGTCGGGTAATTCATTAACTTTTATTTCATCCCAGATCCCAGCGGCTGTAAAACTGTAAAAATGGACGTATAGTAAAAAACGAAAACGGTCGAAGGACGGGCTTCTGAGTTCGACTTCATCCAACTTCATTTTTTTCACGGTGACATACGAGACTCACGGAAATATGACACTTTTCGCGGGAAACAAGCCGTTCTATTTATAAATCTACTCGGGAAAGGGTTGACTCAAGAAATTAATGGAGATGGAGGCTCCATTTGATGGGCTCCTGGCCTAGCTTAACCCAGCAGCCGCATTCGGCTCATGGACAACAACTCAGCTGACGTGGTGTAGAAGAAGGTTATTTGGCGCGGTCAAAATTTTTTATTTCGTCTTGGTGTTTCGATTAAGGTATATAATCAATGAAAACGGCAAAGGGTGAATCAGTGAACCAGAATGTTCCCTCGTTTTTTCGTTTTTCAAAATCTACTCTTAAAGTATTGCGTTCTGCTTTGCTAATCATCCGTAAGAAGAAGTATTTAAGTGGCTCTTTAATCAATTCACACGACATCTTACGTCCTGTAATCCATTAACTTTTCATTTACTAAAACCTTTCGCCCGCCGGCGGTCTATTCAGAATTAGTGTTAATTAAGTTGATAGCCTCAGTGCTTATTGAGCCGAGACGTCTTATGAATAGGAGCGGCTCTCCCACATAAAAGTGACAGGGATACTCGTCGTGAAATGAGAATCAAACCGCCAAAGGAGAGACCAATCTGAGAAAGGCCTTGGTTGACTCTCAAAAGACACCATGCTTCAACAGTTTGACGGTGTCGTCTTCATTGTAGAACAACTGCCAACTTCCGCTAAAAAGCAATGGGCTTATACGACTTCGCAAGGGGTTTTGGGAGGGCTTATAAACGAAGGGTGGGGGGTGGGGAGGGTAATAACCGGACTTTTCAAAACAATAGCGTTTCAAGACAAGCAGCATAGCAGTGCGGCTAAAAAAATTCTTTTTAATTTTACTCGCTCTTTTAAGCTTCAAAACATCGTAAAAAATCGATTTCATTTCAATACAAGCTAGAATTCGATTTAGATTAGATTTATCCTCCCACGGAAACGTGGGTTCGTCACGCGTTCCGGCAGGAATGTCTGCGTGAGATAGATCTAGAGGGGGGCTTATAACATTATTTTTCCCTTCCGTCCAGTCTTATTTTTACCTTGGGTCAGCTATCAACAACAAAGGCTGGAAGTAACGGGGGAGAGCAAATTCCGATATTTGCCTGACGAACAGGCGCATGTACCAAAAAGTCGGTTAGGTTGCAAATCGCCGCCCACACGATTACGGTCACCTCTTGTGAATTTGAGAAAAAGCAGGAGCCTATCAAATGGAGCCTCCATCTCCCATACAAACCCTTGGAGTCAACCCTTTCCCGAGTAGATTTATAATTAGAACGGTTCCCAGGGGACACTTCGCGCGCCGACGGTGGGAAGAGCCAATCACAACGACTAAATGACACTGCTATTGTACTTCATGAAACAGCAGGAAATCCGGTG